GCAGCAAAAATGCGAGGTCTTACAAAGGAATTTAGGTTCTTCTCCCAAGTACGCAATGCCCAGAAGACACGCGGCCGATGCTTCCACGGGTGAAGCGTGGGACGGGCCGTCAACAAGCTCTGTACAGCCGCTTCCGCTGAGAGCTGACGACGAAAGATCAACCACGCGCACAATGCCGCTGAGCTGCGGTTGACCCCGCCGAAGCAATGAAAGAGGATGCCTCGTTCTTCTCGCTGAGTCGTTGCCTTCAAGTGCTTCAGAAGAGCGCAGCACATGTCCATCCACGATGACAACCAGGCATTTCCCACTTCTTCACAAAAAGTATTGGTGTCATCCAAGTATGTTCTGGGATCGTCCACGTCGAACGTAAACCACCGAATCTTGAGATCTTCAAACCATGCTTTCCAGCCCACCTCTGGCTGCCCACGAATACGTTTCATCTCCCGTGGACAAAAGCTCAAGACAACCGACACCTTGCGACAGGAAAGTGGGACAGTTTCCTGGTGAGTCCGGAGATGGCGAAAGGGAGCCAAGCTCCCGAGAAAGTAGATCTCAGGCTGTTCCAAAGACATCATCTCCCCAGGAAGTATTTCACAGATGTCATTTGGCCAATCTGAAATATCACCGAAATGATATTGGTGCGCTGCCAAAAGCCGGTCGAGTGTTGGCTGATCCTCGATCGGCATGTCCAAGCTGCTCTGAATCATCCGTTGCAAAGCAGCGCAGGCAGCAGACATCGCATCGTCGTATGGCTCCATGTTGCACGGGTTACGTGTTTCGAGCCTGGATCTCACGGATGGTCCGCTCAAATGCTCTCTGATGTTCTCTGACATACAGCTGCAGGCTCACAAGTTCATTGACCAAGTTACTTGATGTTGGTCTCTATCGCTAGGGCGCGGTCATCATGTCGCTCAAAAGCGGAGGTCACTGAATTGCACCCCCCATTTAAAAAAAAAACGCCCCAGCCAAGCCATACAGCAGGTCACATGTCACAAAGCATCCGGCATGTCAATTACACGATCGAACTCCAACAACAGAATGGAAATGCGAAGCAGCGGTGATTTTTTGATCTTCTCGCAGCAACGTATCGCCATAGTCTGTCAAGCTTGTCACGTCGACTCGCCAAACCAAAGCGGCTGCGCTGAAGCGACCCAAGTATGCAAAAGTTTGATGACATCACATAGTCACCGGCGATCACAGATCACAGACGAACAGTGGCTCAACAAGCAACAAGTCTTATCAACACATGTCTTATCACAGTCTCAGCACGCCACTACGAGGAGTCCATCGGCACATCTCCGCTGTGCCAGGCATCGCTGTCTCGGGCATCCCATCACGCAGACCTCGCAGGCGTTTCAACGGCGTCTCCCAATCCTTGTCAAACTGAAAGCCTGCCTCTTTGGATTCAGTGGCGCTGAGAAATTCCCAGAAAGCTGTCACTTCAGGAACTCGTTCTTGCACGACCGGCACATGCCACAAAACCGAGTATTCTTCAAAACTGTCGGTCTGGCCAAGGACAACTTGGAAGACTTGACCTGCGGATCCTCGGAGCATCCAGTTCACGGCCGAAGCAGGTCCAGCACAACGGAGCTTGGCCCGAAAAGGCATGTCCGAAGCGTGCTTCGACAACAGGCAATCCACAGACCTCTTGACACGAATGGCCGAGGTCGTGTTTGGCTCCTGCTGCAAAGCTTCATCATCTGCCAAGTCGACCTCGTTGAAGGCAACCAAAGCCCGCATTTCTGTTCTTTGTCTTCTGTCACATCACGAAGGGAGACCACCGGACAGCCTGCGTGCATATGATGATGTGTCACTGGGCGTTGCAACAACTCCGGCGAGGTTGCGGCAACTGCCTCACGTGTTGTGACCAAACAAGGTTCCAGATGCCGAAGATCAAGTTCCAGTACTTCTTGGTATTCATTGCCACGGAATGTGAAATGACAAGTCCATTGAGCACTTCGAAACATATCACGAAGCTGCGTTCTCAAAGTCCGCGTGTCCTGCAACGGTGTGGTCAGCTCAACGTTCAGCAGCTTGGCAACAGCCAAAATACCTTCATGATAGATCATCAGGCTGCACTGTGCATTCGAGTCTGCCACCGTGAGTCGCAGAGCAAGTCGACGCTCCGTTGGCGCAGTGGCGTGCGCCTGCATAGCTTCGGAACCAGTTTGACATAGTTGTGGAATATTATGAAGAAATGTTATAAACATGGACCATTCGAAACCGTCAAGAAGAAAAAGAAATATACACTACACACCATTCTCCAACCAGGCCTGACATGGAGCTGCGCGTTTGCAAGTACTGCAGCTGTCCAGAATCCATTCATCGGTTTCGGAACGCACCGACGTGATCCCCATGACCTGTAGGCCAACGACTTCGAACACAGTCTCCACTTTCCTCAACGCTCCGGGGACGACGACTCCCATGAGAGCACTCAACGAGGTCGCAACAGCTGGACAGTTCTTGTAGTCCTTGACAGGAACATTGGTCAACATCTGGCAGGCCTCCTTGTCAGCCAAAGTTGCGGTCCTAGGCATTCACACTACAAGAGGTCACAACATCTGTAACTGTCTAGGCGATACACAGCAAAGCAAAGATACCCTATGTATTCAAAAGCAAAACCAAGACACATTTGATCTGCCAAATCGCGCGGACACGAATGTGTGGCAGCACAACCAACCATATCACAATACAAAGGCCTTCAAATGTCCAATGTCCATCATGAACATCACATGAACCTTACGTTTGGTCGCGCCTCCAAGGGAATCAAAGGCCATCTCTCATGATATCGAGCAACTCCAATGAGTTGCCAAACTGCATCCGGATTCTGCATGAAACATTGATCCCCTTGCAAAAATACATCTTTCAGATCTTCCATCCAAAATGATCGAACACAGAAAACACAGGCACATCGACGTCGGAGAAAATCTTCCACAGCAGCTCCTGGTTGCGACATGGCCTCAACAAGAGACTTTTCCCAATCCATTGCTCCCAGTTGCAAGAAAGTCGCATAGTTGCTCGCATAATGTCTCACCTGTCATCAGCGTGACTGCACCAGAACATGCCCCACCATCACGAAACATATCATTTGCACTCGAACATCGAAATTTTAGAATAGTGACCCATAACTCTCACCTCCTGAGCAGTGACCACGTGAAGACATAGAGATTCCAGGAACCAACAGGCATTTCGATAACGTTGGAGACCACCATGAACAGCATCAACATGAGCAATAAAAGCATCACGATGTTCGAAGCCTTCCTGACACAGCAAACAAGGCTGCGCAGCCACTGCCGTAGGTTCATGTAGCCATTCACGCAAATCCTCTTCTGCATGATCACGCCGTAGCGGAAAGGCACACACAAACCTATTGAATGGATTGTCTTCATCATTGACTCTATCACTTCTGTGACCAGACATGTTGTTCGACCATGCAGTGCTGCCCAGGATTCTTTCTTGTCGGCCTCTGACATCTCTCGCTCGATCATCATCTCTTCGTTGCCGCTTTCTGTCCCCCTCTGTCCGATCCTCTGTCCGATCAACACGATTTTGTTGCTGTTTCCGACCAGGACGATTTTCTTGCTGCTTCCGACAGGTCCTTTTCTCTTTCCGCTCAGCACGCTGCTGTTTCCGACCAGGACGATTTTCTTGCTGCTTCCGACAGGTCCTTTTCTCTTTCCGACCAGTCCGTTTCTGTTTGCGACCAGCACGACTCAATGCTAACTTGCTCACCGTCCAGTGTCGGTGTGACCTCGCTTCCCCGCCAGCAGCTGGAGGTTCAGTTCTGCGAACCACTCGCCTTTGCCAGTCAGAAGAGAAGAATCACCTGTCACTGCTGCAGCCAACAAAGCCGGTAAACGAGCCAACAAGGCCCCCGGGCTGAAGAACACGCTGCAGGCTCGACTCGTCCCTGCCATCGCAGTGTCTCCAGGAAGATCAGACTGGGCCACCTACCAGTCATTCCACCTTCCAAACGACTGACAACAGAATCATCGCACTTCCTCCAGCCGCTTTTCTGTCTCACATAAGCAATGAAATGACCTGCATGAAGTTCCACGAAACATGTCACAATGTAGCACACATGGCGACGGTCCTGGCGAAAGTCGCAACCACAAGCATTCAGCAGAACCCCCCCTCCCCAAAAAATCCAACAGCTTCAAACGAAACTTAACACCAAATCTGGTTTCGTCATATTTGCCCGTGGCCTCTTTTCCAGAGTGAGCCAGTAGCTGCGTCCAATCGATCGCAGCGCCCTCCCGGCTGCCGTCCAGTTGCAGAATGACGGCATCCGAGTTGGGCCAGCCGTGTGGAAAGTTGGCCCGCATCACCTCTTCCACAGTGATTGCCCGATGCTCCACATCCATCGGCATGCTGGTCATCATGTACAAGCCGTCAGCGTGTTCGATACCACCTGCCACACAGATTGCACCACCATGTCTCAACAAGCAAACACAATACACTCTTAAACGACGAAGTGTCTTCATTCACACGTGCAGTTCACTTGTCAGACATATCCCGTTTCCGTCCCCCTCTCCCCTCTGCCTGTGGCTTCCGGACTGCTCACATATAACCCGCAGTCACTGATGCAAGTCTCAAGCAGGATTTCGCAAATGAACATCAACTTCACATGAAAGAAACATAACATCAAACCATGTTCGTGTGCCAATACACCCCCCCACCCCCACCCCCCGAACATCGAGCGACATCAAAAACTTGACATGAACCTCTCGGAAACATGAACCTCTTGGAGAACCCCCCGTCTGGAGGGTCATAGTATTCCATAATTCCATAGTAATTATTTCCCACAACAAGCGGACCAAGGGGCACATGAGCGGGCACCCCTTTGCACAACTAAACGATGGTTCAATGTGTTTTGATTCCCCGGACCTTGCTTTAGCAATCCTGCTTAGGAACTCTCGCCTTCCTGCTAGGCCTTAGGAACTCTAATTACGGAACTCTTCACTCTTCATCGATCTGCATCAGCGCTTGGTCAGCCTGTCCTGCAGGCGCGTCCAATAGCTTGTAAAGCCTTGGGACTGGGCGGAGGCACGCGCAAAGAAGTGCCGCGTTTCAACGCCTTCCCGGACGCTGCCGCACTGATCCTGCGTTCACGACATGTGACGGGTCGGGCCTTGAGGCCTCCCAAAGGCCGGGTTGATGTGGTTGGGTCAGTTATGGCATTTTGTGTCAAAGAATGCTCAAGGGAGGCCTGGACTGAGCACCCCATGTGTTTGTGCCCTCTCCGCCGTCCTGCAGTTCCATTGGAGGAGTCGCCACCCGGTGCGGAGAGCTCTGCCAATCGAGTGGACACTCGTTGTCCTGGAGGACTCCTGCCGTCAAAGGCTTTCATTGGGCAGATGGTGAAACCGGCAGGGCGATGGCGATCGGCATGAAAAGGGGCGATGGGGTGGTAATGCGTGGTGGTCTTCCTGCGTGGTGAAACACAGCTACGCCCCGTATGTCGCACCGTGCGTCAATCGTCCAAAGGCCTCCGTGGACGGCACTTGAGTGGCCCATTGAAGGGAGAGTCAATGGCATTTGAGAGACCCCCTCAATCTGGAAGTTCCCCCAACATTTCGCACCACTGTTCATAGACAGTTTCCTGTGCATAGTTGCACCACCTGGAACATCGAAATGACCAAGTCATTCGTTCAAATCAACCAAGTCTCCTTCCCCGGGTCCTTTCCCGAGAAAAAATAAACAAACTCCGCCTCCTGCACGCAGCCGTTGGCTAGTATCCAAGAAGTAGGGCGGCCACGCCGAGTGGGGTCTAGCCATTGAACATGGCGCGGTTGTTTGGTTGTTTCAATTCGGTCGATTTACGGCCTCACTCTGTCATTGCTTGGATTGGCTGAAGGCGACTTCTTCACTGAAGAATCGTGCATTGGGACGATTAGTTGACACGGCGTTGACTGTGTTGATGCTGATGTACATGCCTTGATTCTCAACAAAAATAAAGCTGAGGATCTCAATGTCCACCTTTGAAGTTGACTTCGAAACATCCCATGTGCTACATTGTTTCGGCGAAAGCCGGCCACAAAGATGCATTCTTGTCATGGTCGCTGTCTAAGCATTCTTGTCATTGTCGCTGGGTGCTAACCACAAAAAAGTGCCCTTCTGAGCATCCAGTGAAACTTTGGTCTATTGACCGAGCCACAGTCGTTGATGTCTTCATCGACAGTCTGACCGGGTCGGTGTATATCACGGATCGAAAGCCGGTCAGACAGAGATCCAAGTCACGAAGGCATTGGAGCCGAAAGCGATCTTTGGGACTTTTATGGTTTCTTTCTCGATCGATACGTGAGTGACAGAAAAACCACTGTACCTGCCGCAGTGTGACCGGTGTTGGAGTGTACAAACCACCAGGTACCAGGTACGAAACAACCACGACTGCCATGACCGCCACTAACCCTCCCATGCAACTCATAGCGTCAGTCATAGAGTTGCTCAACAGGAGAATCACGAAGAATCTGCGAAAGTCCCTTTTGCCTACTCTATTTGAGAGATGTTGAGGTCGGTTTTGCTCTATGAAGAAGCCCATTTCTTGGGCTCCAACAGTCAAGGTGAGCCCAGTGCCAGCCGCCGTGATGCTCAGCACGGCCACCCGGATGGAGTCTTCCTGGTGTTTGATGCTTCATGCAGTGCGCGGCGCTCGAAACGCACTGAAGCGAGGTCGGGGCGTCTTGAAGTGAACTGATGACAAAACAGCTGAGAGATGCTAAGCGCACAAGTGGGAGGGTACAGTAGTCGAGGTGTTGATGGTTGAGCGATGTGAAGTGTAGAGGTCAAGTGATTGGTCTGTTGATGCAGAGTCTTCGGTTGGTCGGTAGCTTTTTACACAAAAGATACTGTATCAAAAGATCACAAAAGGCAAAGTTGTTTTATGGTGTGGGACATGATCCAATCTTTATCCACCAAGCTGTGAGTCAATGGAATCCAGCTGAGAATCCTTCTCTGAGTGGATCCCAGCACCAATGAAGAAAGTGTTGGCTCCTGATCCAAAGGAATGTGACCCAGAGTGTCAGGGCTGACAATGCCCTGTTCCACACTTGGTGTTCCATTCATCAGGGCACTCCAACAGCCTTCCAGGTGGCCCGCGCTTCACCCAAGCACGGTGTCCATCCCAAATTGTGCCAAGAAGAGGAAGGGAGAAAAAACAAAAGATGCAAAAACATGCAAAAACTCAACATCCTGGCACTCATCTGCAATCTACCCGAATCTTCCCAAAGTAAACCCTTCAAAATAAAATAACAACAAAACCACGAATACTTTCCCCTGCCCCCATCATCCATCAACCAAGAACACCGGGCGTTTTAGCGGGGCGTCACCTCCTGGAACTGTGACACCAAAGCCGATCGATGTCCCGGCGCCCTGGCGCGGCGACTTCGAATCGACCGTCCGGCGGGATCCGATGGAGATCCGGTGTGATGAAAAGTGTCGTAGCGTAGATGGTTCTTCAGTAGATGATGTCCTCATGGCAAACATAGACTGTACCATAGACCATAGATAGAAAATAACCTTGGAGAAGAACGACTGGATAGTGTCCATTCCGAAGAAGAAATCTTATTCATTCTGCCCATTTCGGTGACAAGCCGACAATTCCCGATCTTGTCTAAGTGACTCGTTTCCATGGATCGGTCAAGCCGAGACCACAGTGGAGAATTCAACAAAAACTCGAGCGGGATCCCACAGCAGCTACACTTCCCCAAGAGGCCACAACACAACAAGAGAGTGACAACATTTGAAGAAAGGACATTCCTGCAAAGGAAATTCCTGTCCCCGTGGCTTCAACCTGCATCTTGCCACAAAAATGGTGTGAGGGCTCAAAACGATCGATCTTTACTGACATTTGCACAGGCTTGACAGTCCCAACATGTGTAATCACCGGCCCAGCAGAATCATGCACCAACTGTCACAAAGCTAGTCAGCTAGTCTCAGCATCTCAAAGATCTAAACCGCCCAGATGCACCAGAATAGAAACAATATATAGAATAGAAACAATAAGCTACTAGGAACAAGTGCATCGCTACTAGGAGCAAGGGCCTTACTAGTAGTAACAAGAAGCTATTAGAAACAATATATATAGCTCTGAACCAATGGGGCCCAGATGCAAACGTTTTGTCTTGACCCGTCCCTCCTGACCCGGGCAGATCCTTCGATGAAAGCTCTCGGCACGGAAACTGTCGGCAGAGCTTTCATCATTCGACTGAAACTGTCGGCAGCACGTGTGCCCATCAATGCCTTACATCTGCGGTCACTCCTCCGTTCTGGGAAGGCGCATATTATCAACACTCTAGTTGAGCACATGAAGAGACAATGTGTGGTGTATCGGGTGCTATATAGACCCCCAAATAAATAGAAAAGCAGATCCCCACTAAAAATGTATTGGAAACCGTTTCTACCTATTTGGGAACCACTACAAGAAATAAAGCCTGCCAACTTCGTCCCCAAAATTCTGAAATCCCACCGGATCCCGAACGAATCGCTGTCCAAACCATCCTGAACGATCTTCTATCGGCGACGGACGGTGAGAAAAACGCCAAGACATGCGGAAGACCATATTGCCTTTGCTTGTAATTGGTGAAGTACGTGTTTCAGTGTCCAACTCCTGCCTCATTTGTATCCCGAGCTAAGTAAATAGTTGGGTGTCCATTTCTACATGATTGCCTTGTCCATCCCCACATCCTGAGATGATGGCGGATGTACCCGAACTTCAATCTCTTGAGCTTCTCCGAAATGGCCTCCGCTGCCGACGAAAGAAACTTCGTTTTGCACCAAGACGATTGAACAAAATTCAAGACCTAAGATCTGCAGATTTCGAATCTTGATACATCTTGACGTCTTGATTTTACCTCCGCTTTCGCCGCTGCGAAGCCAAACACCCAACTGGAACCAAAGTCTTAGGCACCCGGCATCCAGCACCAAATGGTGGTGACCTCGAATCTGCTCAGCTAAAAAGGAAAAATTAACCTCTGTGTTGGACTAGTTGTATACACAGTTGTGTGATGTTTTGGATTGTCATCGCGCCTTTTGTTGCACCATGTTCTCTTACATGTCTCTTCGTATTGATGATGGCGGGTCCCTTCTTTGTTCCTTTGCTTTTTGTCGGGCTCTGTTCAGGCGAGGTGCTTAGGCAAAACCGGTTCTGACACCCGAATGCAGGATTGGACACAACACATTCGACAGCTTAGGGATCCAAACATGGGTTGCCCAAACACGGGACTTGAATTTGGTTGAATTTTGGAAACAGGTTCTGAGTGTGAACCTACCAAGTGAATCTGTGCCCTGTTGCAAATCCTGCAGTCCCATGCTGGTTCGTTGGGCATTCACAAGGACCGGTTCCATCCAAATCGGCGTGGATTTGCGCCCAGAAAAATACAAATGTCTCTTCAGCCTGCGACGGCAACAAACCGTGGATAGATCTGGAAAGTCATTTCGAAAGAATTATGGACCCAAGCGGTCCAGGCTCAAGAAGTCGGAGCTACTTAAATCGAAAGAATCGTCAGTGATCTTTCTTCGTAGCAGCAGAGATGTCCACCTCACCTTCACCATTCTTCACCTTTTCATTGGGGCCCTGCGCCGAAGATGAGGAACTTCAGACCGTTGCTCAGCAGATGTTCGACCTCATGGGCCAAGACACGACGCCACGCGCATATGTTTGCGATGTTTTCCTTGGTAGTGGACAAGAATATGTGGGTTCTGTTCAAGTGGGTTCTGTTCAAGTGGTCAGGAACAACCGTAGTCTCAGGTAGCAGTGTAGTTACAGGAAAACGACCTAGAAGCGCCACCTAGTCGCACCTGT